CCGCCCTACCCTAACACCCTTTTGGGATTAGCAATTGCCGTGAATGACCCTAAGACTTTAGCCAAACCATATTGGGGTATTTGTCTTTGTGGTAAACCTAACAGAGCAGTACATGTCCCACACATGTGCTCACCTGCATGTTCAGTAAGTTTTCTCCAACTAGTACATGTTGTGCTGCCACTACCGGGTCTGTATTTCAAGCTATCGTTTTGGATACTGCCGTAATCTGATCATATCTCAAGCCACAACCTTCCTAATTAGTTCCCACTTACGTACTCCTGCTCTTGCAAGGTTCACAACAACCCCAGTACCCACATTCCAACTTATTATATATTTATTATTTATTAATTTATTTAATTTAATTATAATTTAATTATTTATTAATTTAAATGTATGTAAATAAAACTTGGAAGTAAATATTTAGTTTTTATAATAGTAATTTAGCCTTTTGTAAAGTTCAAGTAAAAAGCTACTATACAAAATTTTGAATTAAAAATCTGGTTGGACAATAATTTTACTATTTATTTAGAAACAAGAATAATTTTTAATACTTTAATACAATTTATTTTTTAACAAAATTTTAAATCAATGTAATTTTATTAAGAATAAAAATTTTTTTTCAAGCTATTATAACAATAAATAAACTTGTAAACTTATTTTAATTATAATATTATCTTTGCTTTATTTAAATAAATTCAAATGCTTTAGTATTAAACAATAGTACTCTTGAAAATTTAAGAAAAAAAGTATATAAATATTTCAAACAATACAAATTTTTTAAAGTATTAGAACTTTTTGAAAAAATTCTTAAAACAATTAACAAAGTTTTAAAAATTAGGAAAGTATCTTAGCTAAAATTTTTTTATAAAGTAGTATAAATTAAAATATTTAAATGAGTTATAAAGGTATTTTGCAAGAACTTAAACTGAAGGTTTTGAATCTTGAAAATAATAATTTTAAGTTTTAAAGAAAAAAAGTATTAGCAATGCATTTTACAAGAACTTTACTTCTTTGAATTATTGTAATAATGAAATTGAAAAATATTACCAATGTATTTTATAAGAATACTATATAACTTTTTTAAATCTTGAAGATAGTAATTTGGATTAGACATTATATATTAATATTCTATCAAACTATAAAATTAACTTATTATAGTGAAAACTTAAATATTCACTTCTAGATTTTACTCTATATATTTATTTATTTATTAATATTAAGGTAACTACTTAGATCTTTAGCATTTTATTAGTTCAAGCAGGTTTACTGATCTAAAGACTAGCAACATGTTATAGTAATATTACAAGAGTTTAACTAGCTATATATACAACTTTTAATTATTTAATTTAAGTAGTTTGCTCTAAAGTTCTACACTAGCTACTATACCTATAGCCTATTTAGAGAGCTATTTATTTAAACTCTTTGGTTTTAGCTCTATATTATGTTTTTCTAATATACTCTTTCAAGATAATTTGTCTAATAAGACCCTAAAATTTTAGTTTTTAGTTAATCTAGTTTTTTAAAAAGATATTTATTCTTGTAGTAAACCTAATAGAGTAGTTTATATTATATATATATATTATCTATACTTTTGGTAACTTGTACTATAGCTTGATCTATATACTTAAGAGTTATTCACTCTTATAGTTACCTACTTTTGCTTTTGCAAAATTTGCTCAAATCTTAATATTTATATACTCTCATTTTTCTAATTTATAAACTTCTTTTTTTAGCTTTTAGAACTTTCAATTTAATAGCTCAGAAGATTAGATTTGCTAAGGGAACTAACACTTATTATGTAAATATAGGCCCCTATTAAAAAATATCAATTGATTTGTCTGAGGACCCAAAGTCAGTCATTTGACAATTACAAAATTTAAAATAATTAATATAGATCTTGGCTCCTTGCATATTTTTATGCATCCCTTGCATATTTTCATGCACTCTTGCATATTTTATGCACTCTTGCATATTTATACATAAGTATATATAATTATGCAAGAAGTGTATAAAAATATACAAGGGGTATATAAAAATATGCAAGAGGCCAAGATCTATATTAATTATTTTAAATTTTGTAATTGTCAAATGACTAACTCTGGGTACCTCAAACAAGTTAATTGACATTTCCCGGGGGGTCTATATTTATATAATAAGTATTAGTCTCCTAAACTTTTAGTTTATAGTTACTCTAACTTTGATATATATTTTTGTAATATATATCTTTTTTCTCTAGTTTGTACTTTAGTAGCCAGGTTGATAAATTTTTTTTTTAAAAATACTTTGTTTTCTTATCTTGAAGATACATTGTACTCTTACTCTTTTTAAAAGTTTTTTGCATTTTTATTTCTAATTTAAGGATTTGTCTTTAGTTTAAGGTTTTTTTTATATTATTATTAAAGATCTATACTACTTCTCTACTTGAAACTTCTTAAGCTAGTTTTTAATCTTCTAGTTTTTTTTTGGTTTTCTATAGAGCTGAAAGATTTATTGTAAGTTTGCATTATCTAAACTGGTTTGCATTCCAGTAGGTTACAATATATATATATTGTAATCTACTTAAGTTAAACTGTTACCTATTTATAAATAAACTATTACCTAAGCATGAATAAACTGTTACCTAAGCATAAATAAACTGTTACCTAAGCATGAATAAACTGCTACCTAGTCTCTCCCTTTGGTGCTTTCTAGCTTTTTGAGGTCTGTCTTAGTTATCTTGTTTACTTTGCCTTGGATCCTGGTTTGAAGTTCATTTTGGCTTTCTTATTTGCTCCACCTTAAGTGCTAGTTGGAGACTATCTTGGTTATCTTTTTTTTTCTGCCTTGAGTGTTGATTTGGAGGGCATCTTTGGTATCGAGATCTGGATCCCGATTCGGATACTGGCTTGGGTGAAGAAGGGGTTACATCATGGATCCCGCGTCCCTTTCATTCAAAAAAAAATTTACTATCCTCGCTTTGACCGTTTCGATTCACCTGCCTTGAAAAATGAATCGCAGATCCAGAAGCACAGCGTGCCCCTATCCCCTCCCTTGTTGGTTGTTAGCTACCTCTGCTCTCTGAAAGATGCCCCGCTCCTCAGTTCTTTTCTCACCCTCTTTTTTCGAATCTATAAGAAAAAAAATATTTTGCATCTTCGAGTGATTTATTTTTTTCTCATCGTGACTTCTCGCAGTCCCTGCTCGAAGCCGGTCGAGAAGGCGCTTCGAATTCTGACTGGATTTTTTTCAGAAAAACGGACCATCCCGATGCCCTACCCTGATAGCCTACCCTGTTGTCCTACCCGATGCCCTACCCTGATACCCTACCCCGATGCCCTACCCCAATGCCCTACCCTGTTGCTCTACCCTGATAGCCTATCCCAATGCCCTACCCCGTTGCCCTACCCTGATGCCCTACCCTGTTGCCCTACCCTGATAGCCTATCCCAATGCTCTACCCCGATGCCCTACCCTGATAGCCAGGGACACGTAAAAATTTAGA